GCTATCAAAAATTCTGCTTTAAAAGAAGAATGACTTAAATGAACGCGGAAGTTCTCAACAAAGCTGAAAATAAGTAGGCAAAGAGATTGGGGTTTGGAATGTGGAAAGGCCACTGAGGATATGTGAGAGGGAAAATGCAGAAACACTAGAGGATTGCTGGGTTAGGGCCTGCATGAAGTTAGTGACCAGGAATCAGAGATACAGGTTTAGTGACTTTTCTCCTCGCAGTGTAGAACAGCACTGGTTTGTGCTGTGCTCATTGAAAGCTGAGTCAGTATCAGGTAAGAGTGACAGAAGGCCAGAAAGGTAGGGGAGTTAATATTTGTATTGGAGTAATTGTATTGATGAATCAAAGAAATTAAGCTAGATAAGGAGGGGAAACCTGACAGGGGTAATTGAAACTGATGGGATCTAGTTGATCCAGGAGCCAGCAGTACTGGTATACCCCAGAGCAGTAGTGGCAAACTTTTGCCGTGTGTGCAGCTGGGATACAACAGAAAAGATCACATTAATTGTGCAAAAGAATGCCAAATGCAAACTTTTACCTTTCAATAAAAAGCTGTTTGTATCATTGAAAACTCTGTTATTGTGTTTTTATTTTAAGACAAAAGACATTAATGTATGAGTTGCTTTTTCTAAACTAAATCCTCGGTATCCATGTTTAATTGCAATCTTGGTACTTTGCAATAAGTAAGTGGGTTTTGGGTCCTTGGGGTACTGAAAGGTTCACCATCACTGCCCTAGAGCTAGTCAGAAACAGAATGATGTCTCAAAGACCCACCAACTCAGAATGTGCACTTTAACAAGTTCGTCAAATGATTTGTATGTATGCTAAAGACTGAGAAGCAAGGAGTAGAAGACGATGAAAATGAAGAATTTTTGCACAAAGGATCTTAAAATAAAATTCCAGGCAACTTACATAGACCAGGGGTTACTCAGTTTTTTCTGTAAAGGGTCACAGTAAATAATTTTGGTTCTGAGAGCTATACAGCCTTATATGGAATGCCTCAAGTTTGACCGTGTAGTACAAAAGTAGCCAGAGAGAATATGTAAATAAATACGTAAGGAGTGCACCTGTTGAGTGTGGCTGTGTTTCAACACAGCTACAAAAACAGGGAGTGGTATGATTTGGATGCAATATCAAAGTTTGATGATGACCTCTAATCTAGACCTTAATAAAACTGTAAGTCTTGGCTTCCATGTTAAGTTTTCTGGTTTCTGATGATTTAATTGTCTTTTGAGAATAAGTACTCTTTCTCTTTCTTCCCTTTTCTGAACACAAAGAACTTGCTTTTGTAATGAATTGGCCAACTGATATCTGGTGGGATCCTAGATGAGGAACTGAGACAGGTTCACACTGAAGTATTACAAAGCAGAATCTCCTTGACTTCTTTTCTCCTTAAATAAAATTAAAAAAAAAAAAGAATCTCCTTGACACCATTTTTTAAAAAAAAAATCTTGACATCATTTTAATCTCGGGAAGTACCAAAGGATGCAATGGGGCAGAGTTTATATTTTTGGCTGCTTGGTCTTTTTCTCCTTTTACCCACCCCAGGACTTCAGCAAACTCATTTTGAGTTTCTTGAGAGAGCCAAAGGAAATAAAAATATTCTTTCGAAGTCTAGAAATTTGAAATCAAGGAATCAGTTGCTTAGACCAAAAAATATCCTCTTGAAGGCAATAACAGCAATAATTAATCAAGGTTTCCAAGGTAATAAGGTAGAGATAGGATGATACAAAAGGAGGAAAATAAAATCTATTAAGTATTGTTTCTCTAGCATCTTATATACAGCATTTGAATCTTTGATTTTTTTTGGTCTTTTTGAGACAGGGTCTTGCTATACAGTTCAGGCTGGCCTTGAACTCACTTTGTAGCCCAGGCTAGTCTTCAACTCACAACAATCCTCCAGCCTCAGCCTCCCAAGTGCTGGGATTACAGATGTGAGCCACCACGCCCGGCTTGGCATTTGAATCTTCACAGTAAATTCAGCACTATGATCTCCAAATCACAGATGGAAATTTGTTTGTTTTGAGACAGGATCTTGCTATGCAGCTCAGACTGGACTTGAACTCACTATATAGTCCAGGTTGGCCTACAGCTCAGTGATGATCCTCTTGCCTTAGCCTCCCAAGTGCTGGGATTACAGGTGTGCACCAGCATGCCTGATTGCAAATATTTTAAAATCACTAATGTAACATTTTACAATAGGTACCGTCTAACTGCTTTACAAATATAGAATCAGCTGAGCATGATGGTGCACACCTGTAATCTCAGCACTCTGGAGGCTGAGGTAGGAGAATTGCTATAAACTTGAGGCCAGCCTGGGCTACAAGGTGAGCTCAAGTCTAGCCTGAACTATGTAGGGAGACCATGTCTCAAAAAAACCAAAACCAAAACAAATAAACAAAATAGACTCTTTGACTCTTCAAAATCTCTATTCTGTGGGAATTGTTACTGTCTCTGTTTCACAAGTAGAACAGCAGTGCTTAGCTAAATGGGTGGAGGTGGGTTTTTAATCCAAGCACCCTGATTCCCTGGTTCATGTCACCTCTCAGTTCAAAAGTTCATTCATTTGATACTTGTTGAACAACTACTCTTCTAGAAAATGCACCAGACCTAGAGTTAGGTAACTAAGTCAAGACCAGGCATGCATGATAAACAGCAGAGCCAGGGTTGGGCCCCAGTTCTGATTCCAAATTCTGTGTTCCTTCACTTGTACCATGATGTGACTACATTCTTCAGTCTTCTCCTCATCAATAGATTTCCATCAATACTTTTTTTTTTTTTTGTCTTTTTCCTTTTTATCGGTACCGGAGATCGAACTCACGACCGCCTGCTTGCAAGGCAGGCGCTTATGCCGCTGAGCTAAATCCCCAGCCCGATTTCCATCAATACTAAAAGCCTAAGTTTGGGATTTTACCGATTATGTGACTTTTCATTCTGCCTCTCCTTTCTCCCTTGTTTGTACTGGGGATGGAGCCAGAGAATCACATTCACTGGGCAAGCACTCTTGCCACTGGGCTACATCCCCAGCCCTTTTCATTTTTGGAGACAGGGTCTTACTAAATGCCCAGTCTTTCCTTGAACCTGTGATCCTCTTGCCTCAGCCTCCCCAGGACATGAGATGATAAGTGGGTACCAACAGGCCTAGTTCAATACAGAGTAATCTTTATTACTATAAGAGCTGCTATTCTGCGCTTCAATATGCACATGATTTCTGAAGTACTTTCCTCAACTCTCCTTCCCCACAGTATCTTGCTGTTTAATCATGATTAGCCTTGTTTTTGTCTCTGTTCCTTTTGCAGAGGATAATGCTCATTGTTTTAGTCACTGAATTCATGCTCATTTCCTTTTCCTTTCATTCTATCACTGAAATAAACCAATCTCCTTACTTTCCAGGTTTTGTTATCTCCTTTGGATTACTGAGTAATCCAGATTACTCCCAGATCTTTCAAATTCTACACCAAAAGAGCCTATATCAAATTTTAGTACTTGATTTAGACACTTTGCATTTGTCCCTATGCTCCAGAGTAGGTAATAAAAAGGTGCAAGACAGTTCCTGCCTTCAGTGTATTTAGTGTCTAGTGCTTTTTACAGCATTGGACTGTGGTATTGTCTTCTGATCTGAGCCTACCAATAGTAACTAATACCTATCTAATTCCTATATAATATTTCTCTTGATTTTCAAGATGAAATTATGTTCCTACACCATAACCTCCTGAATAACTTTTCTTTCTCAAGTGACTTTACTCTTAAATTCTATCACAGTAGAATATGAATATTTCCATTTGCTTGTGCCAGTGGTGGCAAAGCTACAAAATTCTCAGGGTTCATAATAAGGTAGACAGGTTGACATTTTGAATAGGAAAATAAAAAGACAAATCTCTTTTCTGGAATCTCAAAAAGGAGCTTAACCTTGAGCCTCTAAGTAGGTGGATGAGAGCCGTTTAAGGCAAGACAACTTGAAATTCAAAGACCTGAGTTATAGTTGTAAGGGGTTGTAAGGAGAGAAATTAGAATTTGTGCACAGAATTTATATTATTATTTTATGATGGTCACCCAGTGACCATCACACAGTGCAGGAAATCTGTCCACAACACTGAAGACCCAGAATATTCAGCAAGAGGCCTGGATCCCACAGTAATGTCTTGCATGAGTCCAGATGAAAACCTGGAACCCATGACAATGCCTCCCACAAGTCCAACTGAAGGTCTAGAGCAGATGAGAAGGACTCATGCCAGTCTCTTTTACAGATCCATGCTGCAAAGGCCCAAAGGTCGGCAGTGGAAGCTACAAAGTCCATGCCAGTGGGGTGAGGGAGCTGTGCTGGTAGGTTGAAGGTTCTACATTGGAGCTGAGAAGTTACACTCATAATAAAGACCAGGATTGTCCTGAAAAGCACCACAGCCATCCTTAGCAACATGGAGGTCCTGAGCTCCTCCAATGATAAGAACAGTCGAATACATGCCAGGAAAGCCAGCATGATAAGTTTCTCCTGGAGACTGAACAGTACACATCTTCCCCTCTGGAGTCAGGAAGCCATGCTCGACATAAGGACCAGAGGTCACCCAAAGTGAATCATAGCCACTCTCAACCAACAATTTCCCATGCTCCTCCAATGACAATGGTCAAATTCACACAGGGGAAACTAATCATGAGGAGCTTCTCCAGGAGAACCAAAGGCTCAAACAGCAACACTTAGAGAAACCCATAATGCCTCACTCGTCTTCTCTATGTCTTGTTTATGCTGGCAGCTTTCCTCAGGTGGAACATCTACACTCAGCACCATGCTGATTTAATTCAGCTGGTGTTAAGTTGAACATCAGTTTTTAATCCATAACAGTTACTAACCCGAGACTGGTTAACATTAATTGAACATCTACACTGTGCTAGTTATTTTGCTATTAGCTTACTGTGCTGGAAGCCTGAAGTTACTTGATTTAACACCATTTCACAGACAAAGAAAAAAAAAAAAAAGCAGAGAGCTTAAATAACTTACCACAAATGGTGCTAGGAGCAAACAATTTCACAAGAGGAAGTCTAGCTACGGGGTAGAGGTGTCTGTAGCCATGAACCTATATTGCATCTTGGTAACAGTAGCTTCCTTTAGGCTTCCTCTTTATCTATAGATTCTCACTATGGTTTCAACCAACTGTGAATGGAAAATATCAGGGAAATACATTATGTTTGACTGATCATATACACATTTTTTCCTCATCATTTGCTAAATAATATAGCAACTATTTACACAGCATTTATATCTTATTAGTTATAAGTAATCTAGAGATGACTTAAAGTGTATGGGAGCTGTGTAGGTTATATGCAAACACTATGCTTCTTTATTCAGTGAGTTTAAGCATCCCTGGATTTTTCTATCGGGGCATCTGTGTGTCTTGGAACCAAACCCTTGTGGATACTGAGGGGAAAACTATATTAACATATTATGCAACAGGTTCTAATTTTTGTTATTATTTAATCACTAACACCCTTACATTTATAATAACTTTTTCAGATGAAAAACTTGGGCTTGGAAGAGTGTTAGACAGCTAAGATAGGCAGTCAGACAAGGGTAGGCCCTCTAGTGAGTCAGTAAAGATGAGAACACATCAAAACTGTGCTGGAAGCACAAGGGAAGAAGATTAAAATCACAATGGTCAGATTTACATAATTCCTTAAGGAGATAAATGAAAGTTTGAAATTACTGGTACAATGCTTTTGAGATTTTCAGTATAAATAAACCATTATCTCAGACTTCTCTCCCAACTACTAAGACTAAAACTACTAAGAGTAAAGATAAGATCAAGAGCCTGGTGTGGTAGCATATGTCTGTAATCCCAGCACTCGATAGACACAGGCAGGAGGATTGCTGCAAACTGGAGACCAGACTGGGCTAAAAGTGAGCTCAAGGCCAGCCTGAAGTGCAGAGCAAGACCCTGGTTTAAAAAAAAAAAAGACAAGACTAAGACTATAGATTACTGATAATAGTGATGTCATCCATGTGCACTTGCTAAGTAACCTGATTCATCATCGGATCAGTATTACCTCAGCGACTATACTTGGAATCATACTGGTTGATCGTAATTTTGTCCCACGTTGTGCCCACCTTATGATTTTGCTATACAAAATGTCCTTTGAGAAACGGGCTTGTTAGCAACCCATTCGGGACCCCTCCTGTCTCTCAGGAGCTATTTCTATTCCCCATTCCTTTCCCCAATAAATTTTCCTATCTTTAACCTCTGTTGTTCCTTAGAATTCATTCTTCAACTTCAGGGATTATGAACTCAGTGTACTGGACGTCTGGCAGGTTGGGAGTTTGATGCATTCCTTCTGCATTATTTGGAGGTCTTATATCACTACTATTAATTGAAAGACTCAAGCTTGGAAATTAGTTTGGAAAGCTGGCTCCAAAAGCTCTAACCCTTCAGCCACGTAGTTTCCCCACCTTTGAAACAGAATTTGGAGGTACTTCAGTTGAATAGGGAGGGGATGTAGACACATATTTGTTGATGAGTGTGAGATAAGGTGGGATACGGCAGTCAAGCCAAAGAGATCCAGGATCCAGCATAAAAGGGACGCGTGCGATGACAAAAACCAGGAGGCCCGTGAGCCTGACATACCCTCTCTGATCCTTGCGGCGGTCAAGGCCAACGGCTCTGTCTCAGTCCCTTGACAGTACCTCACCCACCCAAGTCCTGCTCCACAGGCTTCTCCAGTAAATCTAGGGAAGGAAGAGGCGCGGCCTCCTCGCCCGCGCAGCAGAGCGCCACGTCCCACTTGGCTCAGCTTCCCGGTGGTTTAGACGCATAAATTCCGCACTTGGCCCGCCTTCAGTTATAACCACCCCGACCAATCGGCGCCCTCCGCGATCCTGAGTCGGACCAATCAGCGGTGGTGGGGAGGAGAGCGCTGTCGCCATGGCAGCGAGGAGGCGGAGGCGCCCTCGGTGGGCGGAGGGCCAGTGCAAAGCCTAGAGCTGTGGGTTGAGAAGACTGACCTGGTCGTGGTAGGCATCCAGTCGGCGGGTCCTTGCGTGCGGAGACCCCAGCAGGTGAGGCCAATGGCCTGGAGGTGGGTGCAGATGGGTAAGCAAGGGGCTAGGGCGAGTGCTGAGAGGAGGCGAGCAGGTCTTCTGCTTGTCAGGGAGGTGAGCATGGTAGGGGCTGCTCGGTGGGCCCCACGGTTGGGAATGGGCATCCCTGCTCCAGCCTGAGGCTCGGGGTCCTCTCCTCTGTCCCACTCGCTGCGGGGCACCCGGCTTTCTTTGGACTCTCTTGGTGAGAGCAGGGCGCGGTAGATGCAGCAGCGAGGCTGGGCTGGTCCACCTGGCTCGGGGTGAGGGAAGGAGAACCCCGCTGGTGAGGGGGTTCTACCCACCGGTCCGGCTGGTGCTCAGCACGCCTGCCAGGATGAGCGAGGCTAGGCCCGGGAGTCCTGCTTGCTGCCGCTTCTGGGAAGCCAGCGGTTCCTCACACTTAGGAGAAAGTTCCTGCCTTTCGCTTACTATCGGTTTCCCTCAAGTGACAAATGAAGTGCAAGATAAACCTCTGTTTTAAGGGGTCAGGAAGATGGTAACTCCTGTTGCACCTGTCAAGTGTGAATTACCCCGGCGAGTGAATGTGGTTATTGTGGTTGGTGCTGGTAGCGGTCTTACATGGCAATTATTTTACAACATGAGAAAGAAAGGGGTGGAGGAGGAGACAATGAGAGTGAACATGACATGTTAGGCTTCTTCTTCTTTTTTTTTTTTTTTTGGAGACAGAACCTCTTGAAAATCTTCGAGTCCAGTAAATTTCTAAGTTGGATAATGTACCCTTTATAAAATTGGATTAGTAAGCCCTGCCAACCAAGCTTTTTATTAAGGTTCTGTTAAATCCATGGGTGAATATGAACAGTAAACCATTTTTAAAACTTAGGTTAAATAAATGGCAGGAGAGAGTAAATGCGAATATTTCTGATAGTTTTATTTGAAGGGGATTGTGGAGCTTTCCTGTAGCAATGTTTAAACAGCAGATTGTTGCTTAAGGAATTGGCTGAAAGCAGTATGACTAGTGGCATGGTAGATTTGGATCAGAGAACCTATTGCCTATGGCTTCTTTTACTACCTATTCAGTTGTTTGTTTCTTTTCTCTCTCTTTTTATGATTTTTGTCTGTTTGTTTTGAGACAGGATCTCACTATGTAGTTCAAACTGGCTTTGAACTCACTGATGTAGCTCTGGCTGGCCAACTCAACCATTCTCCTGTATCGCCTCCAGAGGGCTGGGACTTTTCTGGTAGAAACTGCTCGAGGATTCATCTTGATTTAAGCTGAGTGTGAATCCTTGTTTTATAAAATTTGAACAAGTTAAAGAAATATTGGGCAAACAAATATTTCAACAAGTCCTCCACAGTTAACAGGGTCAAAAATTTAATCATAGAAATTTAGAATCACAGTGTTTACAGTGGTAAATACCTATAATCCCAGTACTCATGAGCTTGAGGCAGGAAGATCGTGCTGAGTTACAGGCCAACCTAGGCTATGTAGTGAGTTCAAGGCCACCCTGAACTCCACAGCGAGAACTTGTCTCAAAAAAAAGATTCTCAAAAAATTAGAACCTCAAAAAATGTCACTCTTGTTATTAGGGTGAACTTCCATTTCTCATCTTGGCCTTCAAACTCTCTATTGTCCCATACAGCTTCTAAGGGTAGCATTTTTCTTGTTATTCTCTTCCTCTGCTCTCCCAGGATACTTATTATTTATATCATACTTTTTTATTTACTTATTTTTATTTATTTTTATTTTTTGTCTTTTGAGGCAGGGCCTCACTATGCAGATCAGGCTGGCCTTGAGCTCACTTTGTAGCTCAGGTTGGTCTCAAATTTGCAAGATCCTCCTGTCTCAGCCTCCCAAGTGCTGAGATTACAGGCATGTGCCACTATGCTGAGCTTGTAATTTTTTTTTTTTTTTTTTTTTTTTTTTTGCAGTCGTGGGGATTGATCTGAGGGCCTTGCTACTGAGCCACATCCCCACTTTTTTTTTTTTATGTTTTTATTTTGAAACAGGGTCTTGATAAATTGCTTAATTGCCCAGAGTGGTCTCAAATTTGCAGTCTTCCTACCTACCCCTCCCAGATGCTAGGATTATAGGCATATACCAACAAGCTCAGCCTCTCTCATACCTTTCACTTAGCCTTTCAGCATGCTTTTTGCCAAGTTGGTTGTAATCAGTATACCATAACTGAAATGAAATCACAATTGAAGCAAATACACTAGTGCAAAAAACAACAGTTATTAATATGGGTACGAATTTAGAATATCAGTAATATGATCAACACCAGTGTCTTTTTGTTTTAGGATATATGTGGTATATTTCTGAAGATATCTCAAACTAATTTTGTGTTACTTAGAATACAATCCAAATCACATTCCACTCCCTAAGACCTTTAAATCATATAAAATGATTTAAAATGCATAACTCAGGCATTAGGTAGCTGAAAGAATCAAGTATAGGATTTTAAAATGTATTGAAAAAAATCTTTAAAGTAGATACTTTTTAAAAGTTCTGTGAATAATTGAATTGACTATATATTTGTTGTGATAACTTTTTTCCCACTTTTTAAAGATAACTTTTTAAAGATCTAGAAAGGAAAAATTGGCTAGTTTTATGAAATTAATTAAATTAATTTATAAACTTTATTTTTTTTCATCGGTTCTGGGGATCGAACCCATGACTGCACACTTGCAAGGCAGGCACTTATGCCACTGAGCTAAATCCCCAGCTCCATAAACTGTATTTTTTAAAAAACTTATTTATTTATTGGTACCAGGGATCAAACTCATGACCTTGTGGTTACCAGGCAAGTGCTTGAGCCGCTGAGCTAAATCCTTGGCTACTAATTTATAAACTTTTAAAAAGCAGGCTCCTAATAATTTAATAAAATGTATTCAAGGAAAAAATCAATTACTTTAATTTAAAAGTTCTTAAGCCACAATGTGGTGACAAGTATGTTTAATTCAAATTTCATGGCCATATTCCAATCTTTCTGTTAGCAATTAGTCTTAGCCAAGTAAGTTAACTTCCTTGAGTTTTTATAACCTTTTATTAAAGGCTAACCTTTAAGGTCATTTTTGGGCCAGGCATGGTGTCCTATAATCCCAGGCCTCAGAGGCTGAGGTAGGAGGATCACTATGAGTTTGAGGCCAGCCTGGGCTATAAAGTGAGTTCAAGACCAGACTGAACCATGTAATGAAACCCTGTCTCAAAAAAGACACCCCCCCAAAAAAAATATTATTTTGGACTCAATTCTGATATTCTCAGGCAACCTAAGGGAAATTGAGATAGCAGTCCCATGCGTTTATTTTTTGGCAGGAATTTTTTGATATGTTGTATTTGAGTTATCTAAAGATAAAGTATGCATGAATATTAAGGTCATTGTGATTTTAATAAATGTGTTTTGGGGCTGGGCAGGGTGGTGCACACCTATAATCCCAGCACTTGGAAAGCTGAGGAAGGAGGAGTGCTGCTAGTTTGAGGCCAGCCTGGACTACACAGTGAGTAAAGCCAGTCTGTACTACACAGAGAGACCCTGTCTCAAACAAAACAAAACAAAACACCAACACTATCCCTTTCTACTGATAGGAGAGTGCTAGAGTGATGTCTAGATTAAGGCAGGGTTTGAAGTTCAGCTTGTCATTCACCTGCTTTTTAACTCTGTCTCACCGACTCATTTTCAAAGGGGAAAACACGTGAGCACCACGTTACTCCTTGTCCTTGTCACTGCTGCAAAATCCAGAAACTTAGAAGCCACTTCTTTGTCCCTGTCCCACGCTTTCCCTCCTTGATGGTAAGAAGAAGCAACCCAGGTTTCCTGGCTCAGGATCATGCCTTTGGGAAAAAACCTGGGCTTTTTGTTTCTGCTTGATGTTTTAACAGCTAGAAGGAAGAGACTGTATTCCATTCTTATTGGATGTGTTCTTTCCATTGACTGGTGGCTGCAGTAGAGCTTTGGTTATAGCAGTGTTCCAAGAAAAGCACGCATGTGACCTTTCAAAAATAAATATTGTATGGAGGCCTTAAGACTTGAACATTTACTGTTTTCATATACCAGATTATTTGCTCTGTATTCACCCCTGTTTTCAGCCTGTCAACAGATTTCTTGTAGTAGTTAAATTTTATGCACACGCCTGTAATCCCAGCACTCTGGTGGCTGAGGGAGGGAGATTGCCATGAGTTTGAGGCCAGCCTAGGATATGTGCTGAGCTCAATGCCAGGCTGAACTACAAAACAAGACTTTTTCTCAGAAAACCAAATAGAAGGCTGAGGATATAGCTCCAGCAACATGTAGAACACTTTATTAGCCCTGGGGTCCATCCCGAGCACCTTAAAAAAAAATAAGAAAAGAAAACAAGAAGCTTGCAAATAAGTGGAAGAAGTTAGTATTCAGTATGCCATGGTCTATAAATAAAAGTCATATATCCTTACAAGTTCCGACATTCATTTGACTGCTCCACTGCTGAGATGATTTTATATTCAGTAGATTGTCAAAAACAAACAGAGCTGTGTGTGATGGTGAATTTTTATAATCTCATCTACTCAGGAGGTTGAGGTCAGAGGATTACAAATTCGAAGCCAGTCCAGGAAACTAGTGAGACCCTGTCTCAAAATGAAGAATTAGAAAGATGCTGGGAGGTAGCTCATCAATCCGGTAGCTCATCAATCATTTCTTGGGTTCAGTTGCTAGTATTCGGGGGGGGGGGGGAAATGTGTGTGTTAATTAAAGTTTGAAAATACTTTACTTAAAAAAAAAGA